TACCTTTGAATGTGATTGTTATATATATTTAAATTGTACCAATAGAATTAATTTTAGAAAAAGATGCTCCAGGCTACAGCATCCTAGGTATTCGCTGAGACAATAAATGAATTCCTTTTCCAAATCCAGATTATTATGTAGACTTTGGGATTTTTATCTATTTAGGGTGTAAGCCTCCAAAGGCCTGGAAACTGTCCAGCTGTCAGAATATCAGCCGGCAGAATTTACTGGCACTCTCTTTTTCAGGGTGGAGCTGATGGAATATTTTATTTCTCTTGCTACACTGCTGTCCCAGGCTTTTGGATTTTTAAGGTTTCAGTTTCTTTGTTGTTGTCTGTAGTCACTCGTCTTAATATGCACCTGTTGCTCTGGCTCTTTGTGGAGGAGCAGGCGGATATTGGTGCCTCTGCTCAGCCAGTGTGGTTTTCTCTCACATATCTGTCTTGTATTTTTGACAGTTTGCCTATATTTAATGTGGTCTTTATAGGTCCTGCCTATTTTGGAGTTCTACAAGCCCCTTATACATGATGGCTATCTCCTTCCCAAGATTAGAGAATTTTTTTGCTGCTATTTTCATGGAATAGGTTTATTTTTGTTACTAACTTTAGTCTCTTTGCCATTGAGTATCTCCAAAATGTGGGTATTGCTTCATTTAATGTTGTCCCAAAGTTGATCTTATTTTTCTTTCCTTTTTCTTTTTGCCCGCCTGCCTGGCTGCCTCTCTTCCTCCCCCTCCTTCTCTCCCCTGTTTATGAATTGGATATTTCAAAGACCCGTCTTCAATTTCTGCTATTCTTTCTTCCACTTGGTACAGTCTGTTTTTGAGGCTTTTCACTGCCTTTTTTTTTTTCTTACTGAGCTCTTTATTTTCAAGATTTCTATTTCTTTTCCAAAATCTTCATCTTTTTTGCTGAATTTCTGATTTACAGCCTTCCTAATTATATTAAACCATTTATCTGTATTCTCTTGGATCTCACTGAGCTTTTTTCATAATGATTTGATTCTTTATCAGGCATTTCATCCATTTTTATTTCTTTGGAGTCTGTCACTAGAGAGTTATTACATTCTTTAGGAAGCATCATGGTACTTTTTTTCCTTATGCCTCATGTTCCTACAGTGATATTTGCCCATCAATTAGGTCAATATCTCTACTACTGTTATGTGGTAGCCTTCGTAGTAAGTGGCTTTCTCCTGAAGATGTGTGTTGGAGAGATGTTTTGTTAGGCTTTGATTCTAGCCAGGCACTGTAGTGCCGTCTCTCTGCAAATTCTTTAGCGGTGATTCCTGACTTTTGGCTGTAGTTGGAGAGAACAAGCATCTCTGTGAGCCATGCAAGAATGGGGCTAGTCTAGCAGTTCAGGCAGGTGTCACTAGTGATGGGTGTGGCATACAGGAGGCTGGCTATACCTACAATGGGAGTGGTGGCTCCTACTGGGCAACAGGGCTTCCCTCAACACCGCTGTGAACTCTGCTCTTAGCAAGGGCCTCTGGCACTGACAGCACTAGCGGTGGGGAAGGGCCCGAAGCACTTGCCCCCTGAGCAGTCAGTGGTGCAGGCCATGGGAGAAGTGCTGCATGAGAAGAAGTGGGGGCAGGAACTGCAGTAACCACCCGCTGTGGTGCTCACAGGAATGGCAGTGTCTCCTTCGGCTCACACCCAGTGCACGGTCAGTGAAGGCAGGAACCACACTGATGGCAGCAGGAAGCGTGGTGCCTGTCTATGGTGTTGGTGATAGGGCTCACCCCGGGATGGGATCTTCACCAGAGCCAGGCAGTGTCACACTTGGTCCTCCTCTTGTGCATAAACCAGGGGCTGGACAACATCTGGAGCCACAGAGTTGCTCAAGGGCTCCCCAGCACATCCCAATGGGCAGGGCAGCAGCAGGAGCTGCAGTGTTCTCTCCACTCACCGAATAACAGGCACCTGAGCATGGCACAGTGGGGAGGTATGGTAGCGCCACCTTCAGTCCTAGCACCCGCAGGAATCCACATGTGCCGGCCATGCCCTGGTCTTATAGGGCAAGCTCCTGATCTGATTCTTAAGTGTGGTGGTACTTTCTGTCCCCTTCTGTCACAGCCCTTCTCCGCTGTACTGCAGGTCACCGGGTGGGATGGAGTCAGACCTGCTGGGCCAAGTTGAGCTTGTGAAGCAGCTAACTCCTGAGAAGCCCAAATTCAGACAATGGTTTCCTGTTCAAGATGGCTCCTGGCTACAGCGCCCCAGGGAGTCACTGGGAGATCCTTTGAGCCAAACTACTGTGCAGATTTCAGGCTGCTTATTTGAGTGCCTGTAAGCCTGTGAAGACTGTAAACCCTGCTAATGGTGAAAATCACCAGAACCCAGTTTGCTGGGATTCTTTCACCACTACCTCTGCAAAGAGATTTGCCCTCCCCTGATGGCAACTTCAATACAGTGACTATAACTTTTTTAAATCCAAGGTATTGAAATATTGCATGGTTTGTCTTATACAAGAAACCCAAAGTACAAATAATTAAAAAAGCGAAGTAATGTATACTAGAAAACAAGATTTCTGCAAATGGGAAGGGGACCAAGAGAGAAAGGATGGGGAGGGGAAGACAAAGTAAAAAGATGCGTTACAGATAAGCACACTCCCCGTGATGAATGTAATTATTATGTACTGCACATATGTACTAGTAGAAGTTAAAAACATTGTTTTAAAAATCTTGTTTAAATCTCTGAAGTTGTTTTTGGACATAGACTCTGCCTTTGAAAGACTCTAGAGAGTAGGCTGGGCTTGGGGTTTCCATGAACAGCCCTTTTCTGCACCTTGGAATTTTTGCCAACATATCATATTTCTTATATAATCATATGCTGCTTCTGTAATCTTTTTTTTTTTTTTGGTACCAGGGATCGCACTTAGGACCTTGTGCTTGCAAGACAGGCGGTGGAACTACTGAGCTAAATCCCCAGCCCTGTCACCTCTTTTTTCAAAAGCCACTTAGAAGTTCTCTGTGACAATATCATACTGGCAGTGAGATTATGTGTAAGAAACATATGGCCTGGTGCTTGCTGAGTATCAGATATCAATTATTTAAGAGCCCATCATTTTCCCCAAATGGGAGAAGGGGACATTTCACTCCAGAAAGAAACCTCTAATAGCCCCTTTGCTGGGCTTTTAATGTTTGAACGGAGGAAGATCATTATTAGTCCTGTCCTCACAAGTATCATTTAGTGACCAGGTGATGCTTCTTCCTGTGGTCTCAGTTATGGAATGTATATGACTTGCAGTTTTAATTTGCATGTCTGAGGTTCAGGGATTTAGCTCAGTTGTTCTGCCACCTGCCTCGAAAGTGCAATGGCCTGAGTTTGATCCCTGGTACCAAAAAAAAAAAAAAAAAAAAAAAAAAAAAAAAATA